AAAACTACCAAAAGTCAGAAAAATCTCTACTTCAATGATTTGTTCATTCTCTAAGTCTATTGTTCAAGTGTGTGAAAACAAATATCTATGAAACCTCGGCAACTGGTGACTGCTGTTCATCCCGAGGCTGAATTTATATGGACGAATTCTGTGTCACAATCTGAATTCATCTTTACAATTCTACCGCACATAGTATGTATGTTGATATGTATGTCAAATCTGATAGAGACACACTTCTCTGCCAATTGCTTTGAGTGTATTTGAGATGTCTATGTACCTTTAGCAGACTAATTAGCCAGGCATACATTACATTCACTTTTGAAATGTGTTAGTCTGTAGGGATCCGATTAATTTTCAAGCTGATACACGAACTGACACCAGTTAAAGAATTACTGAAAACCAGGAAGTACTCAATAGCTGTTTTATCCCAGTCTGAGACTCTTCAGACACCTATGACCTTCACATTAAGAAGTGAGCACCTTGACCATTCAGTCTCTGAGATGGAATCCAAAGTCCCATGAATTCTTACTTTTGCCAATTTAACTGATTAAAAATACCTGTTGAAATTTTCAAAAACATGGATAATGAACAAAGAATACTCTTTTCGATAACCTCTTCTTCATCAGGCTCTACAGTTATATATCCATCCATAATAGTGAATGAATGAATTAGTGTGATGAACAACATTAATGTTGTTCAAATAACATCGAATCAATAATAATAATATCAATAGATTACAGTTCAATAGCATCAACATAACAATAACAATGGACTGAATGTCAGAAAAATTAGGAACGATAACAATAATACAAATTCATGAATTTATAGTCTCTACTGAAGACCAGCCAAAGCAGTAATAGGGGCTAGACTTGCTTCTTTTGCACACAGAGCACTGGTTTTTTGAGATGAATTGCTAGTCTGCTGTTTGGAGCATGCGGATTTTCGATGATTTTGGCAATTTATTAGACACCCGGTAGATGATAGAGAAGGATTCTTCAACGCTGGCTGGCTTTGTGGCCGGTTTAGACCAGATGGTCCGATATCGAACTGTTAATGGTTTTCACTGCACCTTTACCTAGCCATGCTGGGATATACTCTTGAGAGGGTACGAAAAATCAAGTTCCTAGAGCAACGGTCGATATGACTCGCTCCACAAGCACAGTTTAATTGGTAGAGGAATCACCATCAGTCGTGTAAAGTATAAGAACTTCTAATACTGGCGAAATACACGTCTTACCCGTCCGATATCATCAAATCAATGTGCACCGTGATGGCGAGCTCCCTAGAATTGTGGCCACATTGCAAAAACTGACTGATAGAATTCAATCTGCACCAAAGAAAGGACTAGACACGTCACATTAGTTACTAGTGTCCAATCAAAAAGAGTACTCTTTGTTCAGTATCCATTCTTTTGCCAATTCGCAGATTTCAGCGCTACAACTATCCAATATCACTGGCGAATATTTGTCCTCACACCCAGCTTGGTGCACTTTATTGGTCATTAGTTCTCACTAGAACTTTTAAAAACTTCATCTCGTTTACAATCAGTAATGAGCATCGGAATTATTTGGTTGGTTTCAAAGTAGATCTAGGGTTTCCTAGAGTATATGTGTATATACCTTTCAAATTTCTTTCCTATTTGTTACAGTTCTACCTATTTGTTTTGTGTTTTTTTGTTGTTATTGTTGTTGTTGAATATTTTCTTCATTCCTTTTATTTCATTCAGGTATATTCTATATTTTCATGACAGTTTTCAAACGATTTAATTAATAGCCGTCTTATTCATTAGGAGACTGTAATCAATTAATGTCAACCAACAAAGTTAATCTTAGTGTATAATCTGGGTTTATTTTTCCGATTGTATCATTCCCATACCGTTTTTATTTAATAATCACCTAAAATTTTAAAATGTTCACAATCTACCAATAATTTATAGCGGATAGTGTGTTGTCATCATTTTGACCTTCTACTTCCTCCTAACAACACTAATCTGATCCATTGTGACATTTTCCTACACCTTTCAATGGTGATTATTCTTTACTGATTGAATGATATATGAATTATTTTAATTTCAGATTATAGGATGTGTGTAGAGTTGCATTAATTTGAGTGGTTATAAATTTCTTCACGAGCCGACATCAGTAAGAGAGATTGTGGGGCAATGGACAGTTTTTTTTGTCCTCTCTTGAGACTTTTCATCAACGTGCACTCACGACCCTATCAGATAGTGAAATTGGGACCTTCAGATTACGAGACCAAGCTCGTTGAACGTTTAACACTTGGTCCACCATATCAAGGTGAAGGCATTGGGGGGTGGGGGTAGCACTCTATTACGAATCAACAAAGTCATTGGACTCCATCCGAAATGACTGAATGGACAATGAACTAGGTCTCGTAACTTGAAGGTTACGACTTCAGCCTACTGGAGTCATGGGTATGTTCAGATAAAGAGTCCTGAAATAGGATGAAACAGATGTCCAATATGTCCTGGCTTTCACAAATCTCTGTAGTTGATATCTGTTTGCGAAAATATTTAAAAAAATGAAATTTTTTAAAGATTATTCCTTTAATTAAACTTTATTTTGGTAAACAGTTGGTATATTTCATTTCGGAATTCCTTAGTTATTTTTACTTTCATTTGCTAATTGGTCGAATTTATTTTACTTCTCTCTTGTGTTTCAGTTTGTCTTCCAGTTTTGAACGAAATAGTAGCTAAGACAGCAAACATGAATGCATGATAGTATATCATACTAAATGACTGACATGAGTGAATAGACGACTCTCACATCAGCCAGTAAGACTTGTTAGCTAAATCGAAGTCGTCTAAGTGTTGGACAGCTGTTTCGTTCGTTTGAAGTCAAGCACCTCAGCAGTGTACTCGGTTCATCTCTCTTGAGAGAGTTTAGTCAGTTCAAAGCACTCGGATTCCGATTGGTCACTTTGGTGAAGTGGGAATGCACTGAATTAAATTTGCAACTAGCCAGTTACAAAGTTCTAGGTGTTCAGATAATTTCTATCGATTTCGTAAGCACTACTGGTTGATGTGAGTGACATCCAACGTACTCATATCAGTCAATTAGTGCTGTATACTAAAATAATGTTTGAATTTTAGTCGTTTGATACAAGTTAATATGCTATAGAGAGCATCTGTTGTATAATCAAATTTTCAGTATTGTTGTTTAACAAGGGATAATTCTATATGTACAATTGAAATTCAAAAGTTTTTGATATGGTTATTTTCTCTGAGCTGGATAGGTAATTTGAGAAGCTTTCATTGCTACCTACTAGGCAACATCTTCAGCTCATACTTCAATTCGTTGAAGTGAGCTTCCAGATTTCTCCACGAATTTGTTAGTCATCTCTCCTGAGGGTGACCTTCAACGTCGTGATTGGTTGTGTGTTTTGTGTGTTTTCACACCCTCTAGGCAGCTACTTGTATTTTATTGTATTGCATTGTATTGGAACTAATTGTTTCCTTGACTTGAACTCTGACCCTTTGTGTGAGAGGTTTCCTTCTTACTGGTTGGTAAATTTTGTCTATCTCGATGTGTCCATTGATTGAAGATTCACTGGAATACCAGGCATGCTTCTAAAAATCCTCTGGCATTCTTGGTGTTTCCGCTGTCTAATACATGAACGCTGGTTGTCCCAGTCGAATTGATGTCCGTGGTTGTCTGTATGTAATGAGGCGAAATGAGGGAGTGGATGTCATATCTTTTGACGGCTAGTTTATGTTCATGGATACGAAGACGAAGGGGACGTCCAGTTTGGCCAATGTAGTGTTTTTCGCATTTGTTACAATTTATTTTGTAGATGATGTTGGTTTTAATCTTCTTTCGTTGTTGAGTCTTTTGGTTGACATAGAGCCAGCTGAGTGAAGTGATTTTGTTGGTTTGTGTGCGACGTCAATTCCTAAAGGTTTGAAGAGTTTTGAGGTGATTTCTGAGATGTCCTTTATATATGGCAGGGCGATTTCCTTTGTGTTTTCCTTGGGGCCTTTGATTTGATAGGTTGGCTTAGGGGGATATGTCTTTTGATGAAGTTCAGTGGATATCCACGTTCAAATACTAGACAGAGAAAACACCGAGAATGCCAGAGGATTTTTAGAAGCCTGCCTGGTATTCCAGTGAATCTTCAATCAATAGACACATCGAGATAGACAAAATTTACCAACCAGTAAGAAGGAAACCTCTCACACGAAGGGTCAGAGTTCAAGTCAAGGAAACAATTAGTTCCAATACAATGCAATACAATAAAATACAAGTAGCTGCCTAGAGGGTGTGAAAACACACAAAACACACAACCAATCACGACGTTGAAGGTCACCCACCAGAAGAGATGACTAACAAATTCGTGGAGAAATCTGGAAGCTCACTTCAACGAATTGAAGTATGTGGTGAAGATGTTGCCTAGTAGGTGAGGCAATGAAAGCTTCTCAAATTACCTATCCAGCTCAGAGAACACAACCACACCCAAATCATCCACCTGAGCTACAAATCTTCTCCATCAAATTCAAAAGTTAATTTCGCTTTTAAGGATTTCTTCACCTCTTTAAAAAATGCATTATTCATAACGTACACTGTATTTTACGGTAATGTATCGTAATTCCCTCATTCTGTTTGCAGTTTTGAAATGTTACAATTCTCCGCCATATTGAACTTTCTTCTCTCCGCTTCATATTTTGAACAGAAATTGAGGAATCTAAATTTTTCGGTCTATTTTACACAATACTGAAAAAAATTGTCTTGATAGTCTACAGCTAGCTACTCAGTTAGATACACAATCAAATGAGCATCTTCAGTTGGTCAGACTAACTGTTGTGAAGGGTAGGTGATAACAATAAACTAATTAGATTTCATTTTACAAGCCATCAATTCACTTAACATATCTGATTATCAAGCCTATTGCCTCAAGTATCGTGTTTCAACTCAAAAATATTTTAAAAAATTTATTTATATATGTGTATCATTCTTGTTCATTTTACACGTTGGTTTCAACAGCCATGCAATTCCACTGAATCGTTGAATTCACAAATAACTGATTATTCATCAAATCCTAACACTGCACAGTGTAATATGCCTTCATCTGGATCCGATATCTATTCCAGTGTAAGTTGATGTATTAATTTATTACCTTTGAAATGCCTTATTTTGATTCCTTAAAATAGAAAATCTTTTATTAGAAAATTTAAAACAACTGGTTCCCTTTATGAATTTAGAAAAAGCAATAAGAAGACGTAATTTGTCTGAATCGTGTTGTAATGTGTATTTGCGCAATACATTTCGAATAATCTGATCACACATGGACTAGTCACAAGAAAATATAAACATACTACCTTATCAGAAAGTTCTCATTTTATCGCCAAGATATGGATGACACCTTCGTTCTTTGTGATAATGATTCGGATAGGAACACAATAATAACTGAATTCAATGAAGTACATTCGGCTATGAAATTCACGTGCGATGAGGAATCCCAAAACAGAATTGCCTTCCTGGATGTCCGCCTTACAAGAAGACCAGATGGTAGCATAAAGAGAAATTTGCATAGAGAAAGTACATGGACAGGACAATATACACATTTTCACAGTTTCCTTCCTCTCCAGTACAAAAGAAATTTAGTAAGGACCCTCAGCTGCAGACTTAGAGCTATATGCTTAGAAGAAGTAATTGAAGATGAATTAAGCATTGTATATGATACTTTGATTGAAAATAGCTATCCCGACAAATTTATCAAGAAACACATGACAAAGAAAGCGGAAAAGGACTACTCACTATCTGTAAACAAGAAGCCACTTTATATACAACTGCAATTCAAGGGCGATATACCAGGTGAAATAATTACGAAGAAATTAAGAAAATCAGTTCAAAGAACTTTTAATGCTGGCGAACTACATGTCTTATTCTCTACACGACCGATGGTGATTCCTCTACCAATTAAACTGTGCTTGTGGAGCGAGTTATATCGGCCGTTGCTCTAGGAACTTGAATTTTCGTGCCCTCTCGACAATATCTCCCAGTATGGCTAGGTAAAGGTGCAGTGAAAACCACCAACAGTTCGATATCGGACCATCTGGTATAAACCGGCCACAAAGCCAGCCAGCGTTGAAGAATCCTTCTCTATCATCCACCGGGTGCCTAATAAATTGCCAAAATCATCGAAGTACCGCATGCTCCAAACAGCAGAGGCTATTGCAATTCGCCTCAAACAACCAGTGCTCTGTGTGCAAAAGAAGCAAGTCCAGCCCCTATTACTGCTTTGGCAGGTCTTCAGTAGAGACTATAAATTCATGAATTTGTATTATTGTTATCGTTCCTAATTTTTCTGACATTCAGTCCATTGTTATTGTTATGTTGATGCTATTGAACTGTAATCTATTGATATTATTATTGATTCGATGTTATTTGAACAACATAATGTTGTTCATACACTAATTCATTCATTCACTATTATGGATGGATATATAACTGTAGAGCCTGATGAAGAAGAGGTTATCGAAAAGAGAATTTTTTGTTCACTATCCATTTTTTTGAAAATTTTAATGGGCATTTTTAATCAGTTAAAATATACACATGTATTTAATTAATGAAGAGTAAAGAGGTGAGAAAATAAATTTAGGTCAATTTGAAATGACATATTGAAGGTTTAAATAACAACGAAGATCATTAAACCGAAGAAAGGAGGTAATAGTGCATCTACCCTGGTATCAAAACCAAGTCTACCAAAGAAGGTTTAATGTGATGTTGAATTATTGCTTTGAATGCTTAAAGGTGGTTTTAACTTCCTAAATGCCAGCTAGGGCTTCCACAAACTTTTAGGATGTGCCACAACACTTTAAGATAGGTTTAAAAAACGTGTAAGCATCAATTTTATGTCCTGTCTGTATAATATGTTTTGCAATAGAGAATCTAGGTCATCTGTTCTCAAGAGTAATGGGTTCTGGAAATTCTGTTTGCTTCTGAGGCCATTCAGTAGTTAGATCTTCAAAGGTTAAATCATAAAGTACTTATGGTGTGTCTATCATTTACATTTTTTAACCTCAATTGATTGAATTGGGAGGAAGTGTTATATCCTGGCTTTGTGAAGAAGAATAATCTTCACTAAAACTGCTAGAATTACGAGGAGAAATAATAAGAGACAATTCACTGAAAGAGAGCTTCTTTATCACCTTCAAAAGGGGTATTATGGATCACTTATATGGCATATCCCTTTTCTGAAATAGCGCCACCTTTATCCGGTGGGTATTGCGGCATTTCAAGAAACAGGCCAAAATATACCAGCATGATTTCATGAAAATTCGGTAATATACATTTAACTTTTGAAACTACTGCCTCCTTTAGTGCATCACGTTGCTCACATATCAACATCAAGCAACAATTTCTGATAATGTGCAGTGGATGCAGCGCAGTTCAAGTCAACAAAGATACCAATGATATGTACACCAGAAAAGAATATTCAGTGCAAAATTTCGTTTAAAGCATACAAAAATATATATATTTTTATTTCTTTACGTTCCCAGTGGAACATAGGATTAATGTGACAGACTTGAAGTTTCAATAGCAGTGGTGTCTATTTTTACAAGATGAGGTGGCTAGACTCATGCCCAACCTTACCTCTTAACTAATCGTATTATTGCCTTAGCGAGGTAAATTCCATATAAGTTGGTTCATGAGATGTATCACACAGTGAAACAGTATTATTTACTGAATGACAAGGTTTCGAACAAAATTTATTGTTCATAATCGTATCAGTTATAATCACGCGACTTCGAAACTTAAGTTTTATAATTTTCATTCTTCTCTCCTATTTGTCGTCGTTGGGGTAGTAGACTTTTCCAGATGTCAGGCTGGAGAGGTGTTGAATCATTCCTATTACACGTGTTTACAGTTGATTCAATAAACAAAGTTTCCGTTATCGATATCTCCCTCCACCCTGTTACATTAGATTTCAGAAATGTCATCTTATCCCATCCATCCTATTGTATAGTTGTGTGTAATTGCATGTACTGAGTGCTATAGCTGAACTATTCTCTAGATTTCTTATCTTATTCGGGTCAACTAATCTAGATTTTGGAAGGCATTTGTTCTCCGCTAGTCTGACTGACTGAGCCCTGTTTTACTACTTTGACCTATGTATTTGACCTGACAATCACTGCAGGCAGGGTATTAGATAATCTAAATTGTTTTGTTTTAAAGGCTCCACAGGATTGATCGTTTAACCGACAAAGCTTGTTTCTAATTGAGTTTGTGGGTTTGAATACAAGCCACTTTTATTCCTGCCTTGTTAAGAATTCAAAGTAAGGTTTCCGAGGTTTCTTCTTGAATGTAGTACTACTGATGATTTGGATTCCTTATTGCTGATGTGTATTATCTTGCGCAGTTTGACATGCATGTCTAATTTAAAAAAATTTATATTTCTATAGGATTCCTTTGGGGACTGCAAAATTTAAGGAAACATTTTTTTACAAAAAGGAGAGGCAGATGGGGTAAGTGTGTGGTATAGAACGATAGATATTCACGAGATCTACAGAGAAAAATTACCCCATTGAAAAATGTTCATCCGTTCAAAAGGTTTCAGAGGCAGGAATAAAAGTGGCTGATATTCAAACCCACAAACTCAATTAGAAACAAGCTTTGTCGTTTAAACGATCAATCGTGTGGAGCCTTTAAAACAAAACAATTTAGATTCTCTAATACCCTGCCTGCAGTGATTGCCAGGTCAAATACATAGGTCAAAGTAGTAAAACAGGGCTCAGTCAGTCAGACTAGCGGAGAACAAATGCCTTCCAAAATCTAGATTAGTTGACCCAAATAAGATAAGAAATCTGGAGAATAGTTCAGCTACAGCAATCAGTACATGCAATTACACACAACTATACAATAGGATGGATGGGATAAGATGACATTTCTGAAATCTAATGTAACAGGGTGTAGGGAGATATCGATAACGGAAACTTTGTTTATTGAATCAACTGCAAACACGTGTAATAGGAATGATTCAACACCTCTCCAGCCTGACATCTGGAAAATTCTACTACCCCAACGACGACAAATAGGAGAGAAGAATGAAAATTATAAAACTTAAGTTTCGAAGTCGCGTGATTATAACTGATACGATTATGAACAATAAATTTTGTTCGAAACCTTGTCATTCAGTAAATAATACTGTTTCACTGTGTGATACATCTAATGAGCAAAGTGATATGGAATTATTTACTACCATAGTGCCTTAGTTTTACACATATATCAATTAGCGAGGTAAAGGAGCGCATCAGCAGGAGGTCGAACTCCGGACAACATTCGTGGTTGGCGAGCATTCTACCGCTGTGCCACAGACGCACACAGAAATATAATTTGTTATTAAACCACCTAGCCACGGACTATAAGAAATTAGCTGTGATATACAATAAAACCTTCTCGACATTATGTTTAGGCATTTGTGTATGACGGAGCCACTAGCGAATTTTCAGTATAACTCCGAAATATGCACTTGCAGAAAAAGTCTATTCAGTTTCATTTAGTAATAATAGCAATTTGCTTTATTTAAAAGTGGTACTTATGATTTTACATGTGATTCTCGGCATTCAGCATAACGCAGCATTTAATTTACTCGATAACAGAAAAAACAAAAATATAAACGAAATATTACCGAATTAATATGAGCAGTTTTTTGGTATTTTCAGTGACAGTAAAGTCGAAAATGTGCAGAAGCTGTAAAATAACAATAATAATGTTAGTGGCTACAATTATTATTATGTAATAAAAGAAATAGTGTCACCATAAATTAAGGTGAGGAGAAAATCAAAGCGCCATTAATTAGGCTAATTATTACATAGTGAGTTATAAGTTTCGCTGTTAACACTGTCTCTGTCTTATAGAACCTGAGCCATTTAGGGTTGTACGAGCATATAATCTTTTAAAATGACTTCAAGTCCTATCTGATGGGATGCAAAGGGAAAGTTGTGAATAGAGAAGGTGTTGACAGTCAGACAGTATGGAATTAGCCTATTTGTCGCATGAGTTCAGATGTCTGTCTATTACACTAATAACCAGCTGACTTGATAGCATACCAGCTGCCCTACTGACAACTTTTAATACTCTGTGCAGTATGACATAATCTTCTCTGAGTAGCCCAGGAAAGGCTAACGAGGAGCAATAAAAAATAATAGGTATGACATAAGAGTGAACAAACTGTACAAGTAGAGGCTGACAGATACCTGATTGTCTCAACTCCTTAAAGTAGAAGGGTAGACGTGACATTTTCTTAGAAATCGAGAAGATATTGGATGACCAAGGAAGGCCAGAAGAAAAATAGTTTCCCAAGGTATTTAATGATTGACTTAATTTCTGTTTCAAAGCCTTCTATGCTACAAACATCTTGTGAACGGACCAGTTCATGTAGATCATGTTTATTCCTGAAGGTGAAGTTAACTGTCTGACATTTATAGAGATTTTAAGTCAGACCCGACTGATGCCCCAAGAAAAGCTATAAAGTTTGGAGCATTTCGATCGGGATATAACTGGCAACGAGGCGGCCAAATCACCAGCATATTGGAAATGGCTGATTTCTTCTAAAAGAGGTAAGTCATATAAGAAGAAATAAAAAATAAGAGGAGAGAGAACAGCACTTTGGGAGACGCCAGCTTCAGCAAGCAAGGGAGAGAAAGATTTACCTTTATATACAGTATTCTACATGCAGTCTGTCAGAGAAATAAGAATGCAACCAGTTGACAGCCCAAGACTTGGTTTACAGTGGCCCTAAACTCATTATTTACTTCTAAGCTTAGTAATTATTTGATCATTATCACTCCTCCATGTTCTTTTTTGCATGTTTTACTATTTCTATTTTCACCGTCTTCGCACATGTAAAGTGGACACTCAACTACTTTGCTTCTTACTGGATGACAATTTTCACCTTATCACATTTCAAACATTTACTGCCATTGTGCAGTTGCCTACTAACTAATTGTTATTTTGGGAAACCCCTCCTTAGTAATTCTGTCAAATATGCTTCACACCAATGTTGGTGAATAACAGACTACTATGCTCTTTTAGTAAATGTAAATAGGATTGTACAGTCACTGAAGTTGACTTCGTCAATAAAGATTTCTTTTGGTGAATTTTTTCTTATTTTCTTCACGACTCAGTGGGTATTTTCCGTCTAATGAAAGATAAACTTATATTTTGATGTGGTTGAGTTCTCTGAGTTGGATAGGTAATTTGAGAAGCTTTCATTACTATCTACTAGGCAACATCTTCAGCTCATACTTCAATTCGTTGAAGTCAGCTTTCAGATTTCTCTACGAATTTATTAGTCATCTCTCCTGGTGGGTGACCTTCAACGTCGTGATTGGTTGTGTGTTTTGTGTGTTTTCACACCCTCTTGTATTGTATTGTATTGGAATTGATTGTTCCCTTGACTTGAACTTTGACGCTTTGTGTGTGAGATTTCCTTCTTATCGGTTGGTAAATTTTGTTTATCTTGATGTGCTTATTGATTGACGATTCACTGGAATACCAGGCATGCTTCTGAAAATTCTCTAGAATTCTTGGTGTTTCCTCTGTGTAATATTTGAACGTTGGTTGTCCCAGTCGAATTGATGTCTGTGGTTATCTGTATGTAGTGATATGAGGGAGAACACAACCACATCAAAATCATCCACCTGAGCTACAAATCGTCTTCATCAAATAAACTTATATCACTAGCAAAGCGTCCAACTGAAATAAGGGTGTTACCATTTTTGAAAGAATATTTTCATGTCTAAATAATAGGAAACGACCAATGCAATATTTTGATGTATCAGTTCTGCTAATAAGCACAGTCTCTTGTCGGTCTTGACTGAAAGGGATATAACGTTATTTTTAAAAGATTCACCCATTATTTCAGGTTTTATATTTCTTATTCTGTTTTATTCATTTGTGTTTTGAGAAATGCGCATATGAAACTCATGAAACCAATACTTCCAGGAGGTAAGGCACTTTGGCTGTTTAGTTTTCACGAAGTAGTCAGCAACTAACGTCCATCAAAACCATTCAAACATGGAATAGTGGATTAGTATTTAAATGCAATCGTGGAATTATGCAGTTATGCTTTCTCTCTTGATAGGCATTTATGACTTTAAGCAGAGCACATATTGTGATGAAGATAATTTCGGTTATTAAATGAAGCCGCGGTGAACATACACTTCGAAATGGGTAGATTTTAAATCGCAAATTATATTCCAAATTGCAAATTCGATTCCATTTGATTTTAGTGGTTAACAGAGGAAAAACTAACCTGACATATTCTTGTCTAACAGGTTAGTAGGATATTCACTGTCATAAGACAAGTAAATGGACTTCCGTTATTCTGGTTAACACTCATATCTGAAACAAAGTAGTATGTCTTATTATTATATTTTATTATTCCATTTGGTTCCGAGTGGAACATAGGGCTTCAACAACGCATCTCTACTTTGTTCCATTCGGAGTTGTCCTCTTCATTTTGGACCAAGATTGCCCACAATCTCTAATCTCTTTCTAGCTCGATCTCCTCCATGTCACTCTCGAATGCCCTACTCGTCTCTTCCTATTGGGATTCCATTTGATGGCCTGGGGTGCGATGTCATTCGATAGCCTGCCCAGCGTATACCCAATCCAAGTTCAAAGATAGTTCAGACAATTTTTAAACTGATTCACTTAGCTTTCTTCGCCGGGGCTGGCCGTCAAATCCATTAACAACTCATCGTCCTACTAAGGACTAGTCAGTTATATATACTTTCCGAAAAGGGTAATGGTCTTTAACTTAGGGACATTAAAGAGTAATCCAATTGGCTATCGAGGAACTGCAGCGACTTGTTTTCCACAGTATGAGTTCTGATGTTATTTGCTGATACTTATAACTACCATCTGATTTTTGTAGGCTATGCTATCATTTCATTTTTAAAGGTGTGCTGTCTCTTAGCTTATTTAAATGTAGTTCAGTGATATTTGTTAGGATGAGTCACCTGGCTGACAGATCTAGGCCTACAGTTCGTGTTCGGTCAGAGTCACTGATGAGAATACGCTGTGTTTACATTTGTTAGCTTATAGTAATCAACTCGCATACATTCCAATCAATCATGTCAGTTGTGAAGTTAACAACTTAGTAGAGAAGAAACTGATTTCAGGAATGAATGACGCTAATGAAAATTGTGAATGGAACCTGAATTTCCCATAACTTCCAAGTATTTTTGCTGTTAGTCATCAAGGGGTTCACTATTTCCTATCGATTGACTCTTTCTAATATCTAACATCTATTTATTTTTTATAGTTTTTCTACAGGGGGTAGGGGAGGGTATCAATGCTATGGCTTTGATGGTTACGATTTTAATATTCATAGCACTTGCAGTATTGACCTTGAAACTGATTATTTAAAGGAATAATCAAAGCTTTCACTATGAATTGTTGGCATTAGATGGTTAGAAGCAATCGGTAGGAAGCCTTGGCTGCACCTAGGTTTCGTGCTAGTTGGCACTCATCAGTCAGCAAGGCGTATCTGCAACCTCGAAGGAACTCATGTCCCTTCTGAGATTCGAACCCGCGTCACCAGCCAGTGCTGCAGTCAGAGAGGTTACCATTGAGCTATTCGGTCTCGCGATTGACCTCCTGTAAGACTGTATTGGATATTTTTGATTTGACATTAGTCAATAACTAGTGTGATGTGTCTAGCCCTCTCTTTGGTGCAGACTGAATTCTACCAGTCAAGCTTGCAATGTGGCAACCATGCTAGGTGGCTTGCCATCAAGGTGCACTGTGAGTTGTTGGTATTCGAAGGTTGGAGGCACTCAGCAGGAAGCCTTGCAAGCTTGACTGATAGAATTCAGTCTGCACCGAAGATAAGACTAGACACATTACACTAGTTACTGACTAGTGTCCAATCAAAAAAGCTTTTCACTACTTAGATAAACTATTTATTTTGTTATCTTTTAAATAAAGTGTATATGATTCTACCAGATCTAGTCCATGTATTTACTTATGAAGTGTACATTCTCCTTCCTCGGGTGACACAGTGGTTAGGACTCTCGCCGACCATGCACATGGTCCGGGGTTCGACCCCCTGCCGGCGCACACCGAACTTGATGAATAAGCTGTAAATCAAAAATAAATAAATTATACTGGGAATAATGATCACTATGTATCTACTTAGAAGGTGTCATTTACACACGAACAATCCTACTCAAGAAAAGTAAATACGTCTTCCAGTCGTACGTAATGAGTGTTTTCAGCCTTATATAGAATGTATAGTGGTTAATACCTTCATAAATGATTTTCAGTCTGATATGTGAATGTTTCGCCTTTAAAAATACATTAGTTTATTTTAAGCACATTGAAGTACCAAGATCCTTCTTGATGTTCGATACAAATATCCTTTCCTCTTCGTTACAAAGCTTATTAGAGAGATCAAGATATTTGATTGGATGGAGGATTTCATCATAAGCTGACATCAGTTACAGAACCACTGGAAAACCAACTGGGAGTACTTCACAGCTGTTTCGTCCCACTTTGGGACTCTTCAAATAAAATCCCCACAAAACCAATACTTGAAAATCAGGACATTTCGCCTAGATTTTTGGTAATTGAAAAGTAACCATTTTTCTTCGTTGAATTACACTTGGTTCAATAAAAAAGTTCAGCGGTCATATTTTTCGTATATATATGTATCTTGTCACTTATGTCTGTAATGAGTCATTTGTTTTGCTTCACTTTTGGTTTTAGTCACCACAAGCTAATTTACCGTCGAACAATTTAATATCTAGTCGAACACAAATGTTTTCTAAACCTGTTTTGCCTACACCTCCCCTTCCATTGCCACCACAACAATCAAAAAATAGTCATGTTCCAACTGTAATAAATTCACTGAAACCAAGAAGTCAAACAACAATATCACAATTGGCTCAGTTACTACAAGAAAGGGGTATAGTATCTTATCGTAGTCGAGGAATGCCATCTGGTGCAACACACTTATATCCAGGTTCACATCCTCTATTAGTTTCATCTACTCCTTCGTCAATAGAAAATCATAAATTACCTACAGAAGTGAATGATGTCAATGCCAGTGACAATAATGGCAAAGATGATAACAACGGGAACAGTAATAACAAGGATATGAATAATGATAACGATAAGAAGAAGACGATGAATGAAAAGAGTATCAAAGGTGGTGCATATCATTCACCTCTTATGGTTGAGGTAGGTTATTTTGTTTTATAAATTCCCTTTTATACACCACTGATTAATACTGAAGTTATGCGTAAGCTGACCAATAAAAATAAGGTGATACATATATGCCGATACGTATATCTCCCAGCTTTTGAAGAAAAACTTCTTGATAAGAGTAGTTAATATTCAATTCAATTTTAGATTTTCTGGTCAACTGATTATACCGAAGTGCTCGGGGGGAACATTATCATTCACTGTAGAGTGCAGGTACATCCGGATGACGAGTCCCAATTGGGACGAAATGCACATCCTGGATTCCACTGCTAGTCACCATCCACCAATTAACTTGTAGTTAATATTCATTGAACAAATTTTTAAAACAGATATTATAAGGTGTCAAGGAACTTAGCCCTAAGTTCCTATTGTAACGAAGACGCTTGGAACCGATGTATTTGTTTCAACTTTAAATCCAAAACACCAGTATTCCTTGAACGAATTTATATTGATTGGCAATTAAAGTGAAGACAACTACAAAGTCTACAAATAAATGTTTAGTACAAATGAAGTTATAAAGTACTTTTATTCGTGTTCTTTCCGCCTTCGAGTTGCCCACCAATGGCTGCCAGTTCCAATAAACAAACGTTCAATGTTCACGTCCATTGACATAAGGTTTTATTACAAACAACTAATATAGAAGCTGCAGAGTGGTTTCTCCATGAAGTTTGACTTCTGGAATAAATGAAACTGCAGATTGCTTAAATAATATGACACAGAGTGAGGAAACTGTATGAAATGCTTTTCTTGAGTAAACACAATAGTCGAACGTGTTATTTTGTCATTACTTGTAACTAACATAATCTTGAGGTGAATGAGCGACACATATTATTGAATTTTATACTCTTCATGCATGGTAATAACAACTGAAAGCCTCTACATTAACAACATGTACATGTAATTCAGTTTGGGTGAATACATGCCGTGTAGGAGGCAAACTTGTTTTGCGAATTTTAGCCTACTTTGACGCTAGAAACATGTAGCCATTTATCGTGCAGAGTGAATATATCTATACATATTATTTGTTTAAAGCGTAACGACTAAATGCGAAACGTGAAAGTTATTTTACTGTCATAGCTTTGCAATAATACTCATATGTCAAAAAACACATATGATGTATTTATTGCTGGGAAATCAAATATTTTTATTGTAACAGCGGTAATTTTATTATACCTTTCATATTCTCTCCTTACATATACAAATTATTCAGAAAGCTCAACATACATTTTATTTCCGATTATAATTTTGAACGATTTTCTTTAGTGTACATAATAATTGATTACTAGATTTGTAGAATTATATTTCTAAATTATTTTTTCTTTACTTCTTTCAGTTCCCACCAGAACATAAGGCGGCCTCAAGCTAGAGGCTTGAAGTTTCTTCAGTAGCAGCGGAGTTTATTTCTTAAGGGATGGGGTTGCTAGCCTTATGCCCGACCTTCCCTCTTTACCAGACTTATTATTGGCTTAGCGAGGTAAAGGAGTGCGTCGATAGCCAAGGATCGCAGCCCGGACCATACACGTGGTTGGCGTGTATTCCACCGTTGTGCCAACGAGGCATTTTTTCGAAATTAATCATATCAGAGATCGCATAATTTTGTGACTCATCATGGCAATTCGAAAATAATGTCCAATAAAATACTTATTCAAGTGTTGGTTTGTAGGGATTTGATTGGTTACAGGATTTTCATCATGAGCTGACATTAGTTAGAGAACCATTGGAAAACCAACTGGGAGTACTGGACAGCTGTTTCGTCCTAGTTTGGGACTCTTCATCAGTTCTCTAACTAATGTCAGCTCATGATGAAATCCTGTAACCAATCAAATCCCTACAAACCAACACTTGAATATCAATGAGATGCTCACTAGCGACTTGCCCTATTCAGGTAGGTAGTTACCTGGGGTTCTAGTGAGAAGTCGTGACCAGTAGGGTGCAGCAGGTCGGGTGTGAGGACAAATACTCGCCGAAGACATTGGCTAGGGGTCGCGCTATGTCGTGAATTGGCAGAAGTTAGAATTCATGGGCCATTGGATCGGGTCCCAGTGGCTTAATGGTATACGAGCTCGCCTTGAAACCAGAAGGTCCTGGGTTCGAACTCTGGCGGTGGGTGCGTACTGATGAAGAGTCCCAAACTAGGACGAAACAGCTGTCCAGTACTCCCAGTTGGTTTTCCAATGGTTCTCTAACTAATGTCAGCTCATGATGAAAATACTTATTCCCAGTAATTTCTGATTTAAACATATTCAGGATAGAATTTTAATAATTTCGTGGTTAACAGGCAAAGACTTCAAATATATTGAAACGAGAACAACAATTTTTGCAGAATAAAATGATACCATCATTCGTTATTTCGTTGGCTTCTCATCAACTGCTTGCTTACAGGCCAAAGTCATTATTAAGTATATCTACAGAAACAATTTTAACATACTTGCACAGAGTTCATTTTTAAACAAAAATCAGTCAATGTATATATGCATACAATAATAATATATATATATATAATAATAAACACTTTAGTCCCTAACAATAATGATCATACGCAATGGAAACTTTCGACATTACGTAATCAGATGAAAAAGAGGTGAAAATATCCAGTTACCAGGTTGGCAAAGAATGACTGATAACTGCTTCCGTCTGAACGCATAAATCGAGTTTCAGGCTCTTGATGGAGATCGCTTTGGCAAACTTGAGGAGAATTGAACTCTTTTGCCTATTGATAATTTTGAACGGTCTTGCGACGTCCACCTCATGATCGGTGTCAAGGGGATGGATACCTGGCGATGGCACTGTTTAAAGCATTTGTTCGCTTTAGACATAGGCTTTTTGGTACATGTTCATAAAATCGTAGGTATTCCCTTCTTTCTGTTCTTTCAATGTAACTGCTCCCGCAGATACATGGAAAATGGGTTGGAGTTAAAATGAGAAGGATATCTGTCGATTTTTGATTGCACCAAAAAGCAAGTTGTTCGATAGAAGGGTACTAGATTAGCTGCAGGACAGCCTGTGAATAACGAGTTTACATTACAAGAATGCGTAATTTTTATTTATAATATTAGTAGCGTCAACGTAATTAGTCATTTTAAATGTATCTTTTAATATGAACTTACAGAATTGTCTTTTCACTGGGTCCAGTAGTTATTTTATTTAATAAAAAACGTAGTTACCATGTGGTACACTGATAAGTTCCAATAACTATGTATATGAGGTTTAACTAAATAGTTATGTTGGGTCTTAATATTCACCTAATGCACAGCGAAACTCATTGTTATGCGTGGTATTCTCATGCTATCTGGCTGGTATTCTGTTTAGACAAAGCGCTGTTTATGTTTAGCTAAGCAGAAGAAGTACTAATCTAGTGTCTTTGCTTATAATTGCGACATGTTATTCACATCAAACTCAAGACAAAATCGTCTTTTCTTCTAGTATCTTTTTCTTTAGTGTAAACAGTAAAATTCATTTAGAACACCACATATGATAAGTAGACAATATTGTTTTCAATTAGGTCTCTTCATGCTTTACTCCAATATGCACAACTTTACAAACAAATTATTATTTATTATTGTTGTTATTTTATTCCCTTGCATTCCCAGTGGAACATACGACTTCAAGCTAGGGATTCGAGGTTTCGGTAGCAGTAGTTTTATTCTTTTTCGTTGGGTGGGGCTGCTAGTTTCCCACCCAACCCTCCCTCTTTGTCTGGTTTATTAAGAGCTAGGCGAGGTTTGGGATTTCGTGGGCCGGAGATCGAACCCCAACCCGCCTGATTGGCTTGCGAGTATTTTACCTGTGCGCCACTGACGCACAAAACTCGTGATCAGTCAATAGGATGGTAAGATTCTGCGTGTAAATTGTGCAGTTAGACGTGGTAATAATAATTTTATTAATTACAACAAATGATGCAGCCTAGAGACTCTTTCCAACGAATTTATTACCAAGCTGTGAAATAGTATATATACATATATTTTTTATAGTTGGTTTTTAAGGGTTAGTTAGTTAGAGAACCACTGAAAACTAGGGAGTACTGGACAGCCAGCTGTTTCATCATAGTTTAGGAATCATATGCAGTACGCACCCACAGGGTGGGGTTCGAGCCCGGGACCTTCCAGTTACAAGGCGAGCTCGTATACCATTCACCCACTGGGACCCAAACCAATTCAATGGCTAGCCCATGAATTCTAACTTCTACTAATTCGTGATTTTAGCGCGACCCCAACCAATGTTATCAGTGGGACATCCGTCCCCACACGTGACTGGATGGACCTCACTGGTTATGACTTCTAACTAGAACACCAATCGAACCCCACTGAGTGCGTACTGTGGATGATTCCCAAACTAGAATGAAACAGCTGGTTTTCAATAGTTCTCTAACTGATATCACTCCCTGATCAACTCGTAAAAAAATATATATTTACATATGGTAAATTCCCAAATAATTATGTCACTTGGGAGAAAATATTTGTGATTGTAGTCATAGTTGAACATTAAACGACAACATAGGTTATATACTTTATAAAATGCTTCATGGAATGTGCATTTCTGTCTATAAAGCATGACGGGTTTCTAATTTCTGTTAGGATTTTCCGTAGAAGATATAACCTTCCTTCTGCAACATCAGGACTATATTTGCTGAATGCATTACCATTCAAATCATAATAATTATACATATTAAAGGTGTCATTTGGGCACCTGACTTCATCTGACTGGTTACTGGAAATTTTGCAAGAAGAGGACCTAAAGGAGATCTCATGACAATACTCTCCTTTTGTCAGTAGATGGTTTCATTGAGTATAGATTGTGCAATCGACAAATATGAAGGTATCATGAGGCAGTACACTCACCTATTTGGTTATGTTTACATTAAATGCAAATGAGATTTCGTAGAGTGTCTTACGAGCAGAGCAAGACAGATATTTGCAGAAGGTCGATTGAGAAGGGAATCCGGATATACTCATTATTCCTTGATGGAGATGAGCTATCCAAGCAGTTTCATAAAGAAAAATATAAACAGAACGGAAAGAAAACCAGAGATGATGACAACACGGATGAAACCAATATTTATTATGTCACAACTTAATGGGGACTTGTCAAATGAGAATTTGATTGGATGGAGGATTTCATCATGAAATGACATCAGTTAGAGAACCATTGGAAAACCAACTGGGAGTACTGGACAGCCGTTTCGTCCCAGTGTTTGGGACTATTCAGTAGTACGCACCCACCACCAGGGTTCGAATCCAGGACCTTCTGGTTACGAGGCGAGCTTGTAGACCATTGAGTCACTGGGACCCGATGCAATGGCCAGCCCATGAATTCCAACTTCTGCCATTCCATGTGTAAGCGCGACCATTTGACAATGTCTTCTTCGATGAGTTACTACCTCATCTTCAACCTGTTGTACCCTACTGGTCACGGCTTCCCACTAGATGATGAAATCCTCCATCCAATCAAGCTAAATCCCTACAAAACCAATATTTGAAAAATGACACTTTGTTCCAGAGACTAGGCATATTTTGCTCAGCAAACTGTGTTTCTCGCCTTCCAGTCGAAAAGTGATTTCGACTCGAACGGACAATAAGCTAGACAGTTTTGTCACATCCACACGTATTTATCAGCTTAACTGCTCCTATGATGAAAGTGATGTTCGACGTACCAATGGACAGGTTAGCTAGGGTGTTACTGAACACCTGCCATCGTGGTTTGGTAAAGGGTAGGCAAAAACTGTCCTGAGCTTTGTCTCGGCATATCTGGTTGATAGAGGTCATTGAGTGGAGAGAACGAAAGCAGCCACGGTGATTCATTGCATCCCACTGAATCTTTTCAAAGGACTCTGTATTCTCCTACTGCATATAGATGAGGCGATTGGCATTTGAACAGCTATTCAGCCTAAACTATGGTTTCAGAATTTCCTTACAAACATTATCCCTCCTGTGACCAGTTAAGAGATAATTAACTGAGAGTCAACACTACTAGTTTATACATATATATATAAGGCAATTTTTATCAGCCACTGACCTTATTACACCTTCATTAAAACTGATATCAATCCGCGGTCAAACTCTTAAAAACAAATTTAAACCTTACAAACCAACTCTTGAAAGTTAATCTGATGCTCGCTAGTGACTTGCTATAGGACGGAGTTTCTTGGAGTTCTAGTGAGAAGTGGTGTCCAGTGAGTTCCAGGCAGTCAAGTGTGAGGATGGATTTCCCACTGATAACATTGGTTGGTGGTAAAAGTTAGAATTCATGGGCTAGCCACTGAATCGAGTCCCAGTGGCTGAATGGTATACGAGCTTGCCTTGTAGCCGGAAGGTCCTGGGTTCGAACCCTGGCCGTGGGTGCGTACTAACGAAGAGTCCCAAACACTGGGACGAAACAGCTGTCCAGTACTTCCTGGTGTTCAATGGTTCTCTAACTGAAATCAATCCGTGGTCGAACTCGTAAAAACAAATTTAATCCTTACAAACCAATTCTTGAAAATTATATATATATATATGATTGTACAGCTGTGAAAATGAAATCGTCAAAAAGGGGAATTTTCTTCGTTGAATTCTTGGTTTTTATGTTTCAATGAGGATTATCAATTTAAGTATATACCTATGCATTAGTTCTCATCAAATGTCGATACTCATGTCAACGACAAATCTAGATTGTAACTCTCTACTTTTCATCTCATTTTCCTCTTTTATTTTGTTATCTTAATCAATTAAACAGACAGTTCTGAGTAAACTTCTTCCAGAATTGAACAAGTCATCATGTGATAGTATCGATTCAAATGGTGTAGATAAAACACCGCATAACAAATTCAACATTAATCTGAGAGCTAAAAGTACAAAGAGGTTAGACAGCGAAAGAAGGCATACAGCAGAAGTTTCATGTGTGGCTGATACTACAGACTACAATAACAATAATAATAATAATAATAACAATAGCATTTGTGCAACTGGCATTACGAACAACAGTAACAGACGGAAAGTATCAAGTTATGTTAAAAATTTAAGTGAATCATATTTATTTAACGGTGGTAAGCTCCACGAGAAGGATATTAAGTCTACAGTGGATTCAACATCACTTACAACTGATGATAAAGTCTTTAGTAAAACCAATGGTGGAAATGATGATGTCAATAAAGAAAAGACTACTGATGAATCATATGATAATATTAGTAATTTTGGTGATAGTACTTCCCATCTTCGAAGTGTTTATCAAGTAATTAAACCACCGGAGAAATTAGTCACTTCAAAGGCATATATCAAGTTATCGTCAGCATCAACAAGGAAGTCAGCTAGTACTAATCAACTTGGATTAACATCTAAAGATCAACAGTCAGTGCATAATGAATCGAATTGTCAAAATCAACCGATGAGTAATTCTGGTGGACAGAGTAATGATAACAAGGTAATTTCATTGAACAGTTGGTTAACAGTTAGGCGCAAACAACTGGGGAATGAATCAACTGGTGAACTTCGTCTAAATGTAAGTTATGTCTCCTACCTGTATATTTTACTTCGTGTTTTTTTCTGAGCTAAATCTGTGAATTGTATTTATTTTTTCTCACCTAATGTTTACTTTGAGTTGAAGTTATTTAAAGTGTGCTTTAACTTTTTATTTTAGTCGCCGAGTGATTGAGTTACTCAAAAAGTGGACAAGTTAAACTTTAAGCACCATCAACTACCAATGGAGTGTGACCACACCAGTGACCTTGAAACGCTCACTTAGCAAATTAGGGAAACGTGGCAAATAATGTTGTCACCATCAATAAAATATGCTCATCGAAGTGTTATGCTATTAAATGGGATATCTGGCAAGTTTCAGCTTAGGTTTGAGAAAGGACAGGTTAGAGTTAGATTAACCTAATAAAGGCGACATTAGGGTTGATTCGAGTTTGATTACTGTTAGTTTAGGGATATTTTCACGTTAGGGTTAGAAATTCAGCAAAGCTTAGGGTCATTGTTAGGGTTAGAAGACCTAAATAATTACATGCATAGAATGTGGTTAAATTACTCTGTTGATATAGTTGAATCTTGGAATTTTTTAATTTTTTTCTTTTTTAAACCAAAATTTAAAAAATTTCCCAAAGAAATTCCTTACCAACCTAAAAATTTAAAAAGGCCTAATTTTAAATTTTATGCATTTTTTTCGTAAATACATGTATTCCATATACAAAGATGCCTCCTTCACGTGATTGGCGCGTTCGAGGTCATTCGCTGATTGGTAATTAGTGGTGCTTAAAGTTTAACTTTACCCAAAAAGTGTATAGCACATTAGAAAACGGCATGACACAATAATTAGATGACTATAAAAGAAAGTGTTCGTATTTGAAGAACATTTATATGAGCACAGAAGTATGTAGTTAGTTCTATTTCTGTAATATCCACTCAATGCAGAAAGCAGCATGCATGTGTATGACATCACATTACTTCACCAATGCACCGCTTATGGAAACAGTGGACTTTGTATGCGAAGAACTCATAAGACGTAACATCGATGTTGGCATTCCTATATCTTTTACGAAAGAGCTTCTTTTGAAATGCACAATGAATGTCCACTTTTTATTTAAGAAGGAACCATATAGACAAATCGATGGTGTGGCATTGGGGTCAACACTAGGACCTATTCTAGCTGACATTTTCTTTGCGAAACTAGAAAATGGGCCTTTGAAGGATGTTATTAATCAACTTGAGTTCTATTGTCGGTACATGGATGATACATTTTTGATTTTGAAAAATAAGGAGGAAGCAAAGAACATCTTGGATACATTTAACGAGGTTCATCTCGCAATAAATTTTACTACTGAGAAAGAAAAAGACTCTAGTATTTCATTTCTAGACGTCCTTATGACCAGAAAAGAGGATGGCACAATAAGAAGAAGTGTATATAGAAAACCTACATCAACGGGTCAGTATACTCATTTTTCAGCTTCGTGCCTTTAAAATACAAATGCAATCTGATAAAGTGCTTGGTTCACAGAGCGATAGCAATCTGCTCGGATGAATGTCTTGATGAGGAACTTAATAATATTAAACGGTTGCTGAGTGAAAACGGTCATCCAGAAAAGCTTATTGATAAGAACATGAATCTAAAGTCAAAGCAGCCCAAGGTACCAACAGTTCCTAAAAAGGCTTTATTCTTACTAATTCAGTTCCTCGGGGACAACATCAGCGAGATACTAACACAACACCTTAGAAATGCGGTAAACAGAACATTCCCTGCTGCTGAATTGCGCTGTGTCTTCAAAACCACTCCTCTTTTGTGTTCGTGAGTAAAAGATAAACTGCCTAATTTCACCTCTTCCATGTGTATCTACCAATTTAGCTGCTCCTGTGGAGCCAGTTAGCTGCTTAGGCCGTACAATTAAGCGTGTTTCTCGTCAGATTTCCGAGCATCACTCTGTGTGGCTAAGTAAAGGACAAACAAAATCTATTCGTAGCGCTATACTATCTCATCTTGTGGATACAGAACACAAGATTGATGTCAACGAGGCAGCTTTCAAAGTCATTTACGGCATACCAACAAATCTTAAATTCGCCTTAAGTGTTCGATTACTAAATATTGCTGAGGCTGACTGTTGGGATCCATATTAAGAAGCCTAATTTGTGCGTCCAAAAGAAGTTAGTTCAGACGTTATCTTCACTTGTAATGGTTATAATAGGCTATGATAAATAAGGACAGAAATGAAGCTTAGCTACTGTATACAATTCGTGGATTAGGCAAGAAGTCATTATGACTGATGAAGCAAAGATTGTTTACTGGATAACTGAAATTCAAATAGTGAAACTAGAGCATCACAAGAAAAATGAAGCCTGTCAAAAACATACAATAACTAAAAGAACTAATCCACTGAAGTCACTATTTCACTTTGATGAACTTTATAACAAAAGAATCATGCTACGAAACTGAAATGTAGATTAAAAGGTGAATAGATATTTTCTATAGTTTGGTTTGTAAGGGTCAGTTATGTTTTTACGAGTTGATCACGGATTGATATCAGTTAGAGAACCATTGAAAACCAGGGAGTACTGGACAGCTGTTCCCGTTGTCCTAGTTTGGGAATCATCGGCAGTACGCATCCACCACATGGGGTTCGAACCCAGGACCTTCCAGTTACAAGGCAAGCTCGTATACCATTTACCCACTGGGACCGGATTCAATGGCTCATGAATTCTAACTTCTACCAATTCGTGATTTAGCGCGACCCCAACCACTGTCGTTGGTGAGACATGCATCCACACACGTGACATCTAATTGGACCTCACTGGTCACGACTTCTCACTAGAATAGATATTCGGTTAATATTCATTGAAATTTTAATGTCATTGAAAAGTGAATCTACCTACTTTATTATGATCTCGAATCTTTAAATATTTTCAAGTATTGGTTTTGTAGGGAGGGATTTTGTTTGATGTCAGCTCATGATGAAATCCTCCATCTTTAAATATTCCCATTATTGGTATCAGAACAAGACATATAAGCGAACAATATTGTTTTCAATTAGATCTTCTTCAGGCTTCACTCTAATATACATAGATTTAAATATAGAAAATCTTAACCAATGATGGTGATTTTGTGGATCAAATAATAATAATAATAATGATTGGTAAATGTTTTGAACGTCGTTAATAACAATGATTATAATGAAAACAAAATAATGATAATAAGGTTTATGCAGGTGGCGATAAGAATAACGAAGGTAGTAATATGTATGTGTATATGTAGACAATTCAATATATAAATTAGGTCAAATCTTAAAAGTTACGTAATAGTAGAGGTGAAGTGCATAGATAATCAGAATTTAAATATATATATCATAAAAGAACGAAAGAAATGGAAAATAAGAAAGGGTGGAAGGCTTATGAATAGAATTCACCTAGCCAGGCAAAGGAGAGACAAAGGTAGAACAAACTTCTTTTGTATGCAAAGACTAGGATTGTTCTCTCGAATTGATTCCCATAGCTTTGGCTATGTGTAAAAGACGGATTCGAATTCCGTTCGAATGGCTCGATGGAATGCGATTGATAACTTTGAAAGTACTATCTTTGTCAACTTGGTGACCGCTATCATCAATCAAATGAGTCAAAATAGAACTTCTTATAGATTTTGTTTGACCTTTTCCAAACCATGAAGGAAGATGCTCATTAATGCGTTTGCTAAGCTCTCTCCACAGGAGCAACTAAATTTGTAGATACACATAGATGTGGCACAGCTAGGTAGCTTGTGTTTCGCTTTAGCAATCATAAATGGTCGGCTGGAAAATGACAAGCAAAGGGTGGCGGCAGTATAAGTCCGTCTTATTCCTCTCGATAATATTCGATGTAGGACTTCACTAGCCACATCCCCATTGAATTGCAGCTTCAGGAACAGTTGCTTCTGTTTAACTGTTGTCAATTTCTCTTTATTGTACCTGGTGTTCATATGTCTCCTTACAGATCTACTAGGATAACCCATTTGGGCTGGCGTATTTTTTGGATGTATCCCAACTCAATTTCTAGGGAGTCATCTGTACAGATACGTCTTGCTCTATTCGTGAGGTATCTGACCAAATTGATTTTGTATCGGATTGGTACAAAACTGAGGAAATGTGTGTATTGTCCTACAGATGTAGGTTTTCTATAAACATCTCTCTTGAGTGAACTATCCTCTCTTCTGCTCAAATGGACATCAAGGAGGTGAAGTCTACCATCATGTTCTTCTTCACAAGTGGAGATGAGCGATGGATGTGACATCGCACGCCAGGCCATCACTCGAGTGTAACCTGAATGAGAAACAGCCGTTTGGGCTTTGGAGGGTGATATGGAGGAGATGGCAACTTATGGGGGATCGTGAGGCCAGTTGAAGAGGACTGAAGACTAACAGGACAAAATGGAGATGTATTGCTGAAACCCTGTGTTCCACTTGGGACCAAAATGAATATTAATAACAATAATTTGAAAGCCATTTCGTTTGAATTTAACCTCTACTAGCTTATTTTCAGTCTGCTCCCACTTCTGTTAGCATTAGTCATCAAGGGGTATGGTGGTCTCTAGTGGATAACATATTTCAAAAATAAAACTAGACTCATAAATGCTGAAGTCAAAATTTTGACATACTTAGAATGAATAACACTTGATTAACTGTAGATATCACTGGGATAGTCGTATTACGCATTTTTCAGCTGGATGTTCTTCCAACCCAATGACCAATGGTGTTTCCACTGAAACTCAAACCTAGTACCCATCATTTCAAACACTACAATGTTGCCTACCAAGTAGTTCTCATAACTCACTATTTTAGTGGGTAGCACTTTAGCACCTGAAACTACAGACGCTGAGCCCAGGTATCAGTGGGATCACGACTGCCTACCGGGATAACATCATATCCAACTGACTCATGCCAAATAAGATTCTGTTGATGTCCACAGGTCCGCAGACATCGAGAATTTCAGTCTAGTAGGATTAGTCAATGGCAGTAAGATTGACAGCATCTGTCATTACCAGTATTAGAGCAATGAAACACATATTTTCAAATTTAACATTAAATCACCAAACAAAAAATAATCTCCCTTATTATTGGATACTAAAGTAGAAGTTTACACACTGCTTAATTTTATTGATTATTTTACAGGTTGGTGATGTTTTAAGGTGTATTGATCTGGTTCCCGGTGAAAGGCATAACAATCACTCTACAATTCCCTTATCATTGTCTTTATCATCAAGTGACAAGTGGATAGAGTGTGAAAATTGGTTTGGTGTCACCGGTTTGGTTAACACTTCTAATGTTCAAGTAATTGACAATCCAAATGAATTAGCCGCAATTATGCAGCATAGACCACATGCACGAGTTTTGTATGCATTTGAAAAAGAAACAGCCGATGATTTAGCCTTAACGGTAATTCTTATAACTGAAGAAAAGTTTTAACAGTTTCAATAGCTTTTTAATTGATTTTTTAAATTTTTCCGTCTATTGGTTGAACCGAATTGCTCGGTCTCAGGTTGACATATTGGCTCCTTGTGCAGATGCTTCGATGATATCTGGGCATGTGATTAAAATTTCATTGGTGGATGGTAACTAGCAGTGTGGAATCCAGGATGTGAATTTCGCCCTATTTGGGACTCGTCATCTGGATGTGTCTGCACTCCGCAGTCAGTGATGATGTTCCCACCGAGGATCGAACCCAGTGCCCATAGTTTCAAACACTAGACAACTCGTGGCCCAAGTGGAATAACGCTTTGGTGTTTGAAACCATGGGCACTGGGTTCGAGTCTCGGTGAGAACATCATCACTCACTGGGGAATGCAGGTACATCCAGCTGACCAGCGAGCCCCAAATAGGACGAAATGCGCGTTATCCTGGATTCCACTTCTAGTCACCATCCACCAATTAAATTTTAATAGCTTTTTGTTATGAAAATTATACTGGCTAATTCAGTTAGTTTTTTGTTTTGTATTCTTGAAAAGCCTCACTTTGGTGGCAGTAGGGAAACAGGTCAAATTATCGCAAAAGTAGATGATTTTCACTCAATAAGTAAATAATACAGTCATTTCTAGGATTAGTGAAAAAAAAGAATTTTCAAGTTTTGGATTTGTAAGGACTTTGTTTGAATGGATGGAGGATTTCATCAAGAGCTGACATCAGTTAGAGAAACACTGGACAAAACACTGGGAGTACTGGACAGCTGTTTCGTCCTAGTTTGGAACTCTTCATCGGCGCGACCATTTCGCAATGTCTTCGCTATGTCGTGAATTGGGAGAAGTTAGAATTCCTGGACTGGCCATTGGATCGGGTCCCAGTAGTTGCTTAATGGTCTACGAGCTAGCTGGCCTTGTAACCAGAAGGTCCTGGGTTCAAAACCCTGTGGTGAGCGCTTAATGCCAATGAGTTCCAAACTAGTCTGACGAAACAGCTGTCCAGTACTTCCAGTGGTTTTTCCAGTGTTTCTCTAACTGATGTCAGCTCACGATGAAATCTCCCATCCAATCAACGAAAAGATATGTTTCGTAAGACTCTCTGAGGCAATCTTGAGTCGTCAGACTTTTGTTGATGTAATAGGTAGTGACTAAGGGTGAAATAAATATCTGAGTCTAATCAGGATTAAAAATCTGCGGCCTCTGTATCACTAGTCTGTAGGTCTGCCACCTGAGCTATGAGGTCCAATTGTTAACCGCATCATCAGGTTACTTCAGACAGTCTTATTATTGGTTAACAACCTGCTACTCTCCTTTTATATAACGCTAACAGATGGAGACGTAGCCGGGAATCAAATGTGATGATGGCCTGACAGTTATGTATAGTTCAGTCACATGCCAACAGAGCATTAATCGAGGTAACTACAGTTTTGTAATTAATTTGTACTATCCAGCATGAGAAGTTAACAGTCTATAGGGGGAAGAGTTTTATTTTCGAGTAGCCTTTCCCATGGACAGGTTTATATATTCATGTAATTACTTTTGCTGTTGCCAGATACTATAGCCGTAACATGATTATGGAAAAAACTACGAAATAATATCGGACAATATTTGTCTTTCGGATACCTTATTTTTATCCTATTTTTACCCTAGCAATTTAAGCTACTTATGAGTAGATCAAAATGTTTTACAAAAGATTTAGGTTGAATTGAAGTGGATTATTCTGCCAATCACACACGTTCCAGATTCGAGAACTGGACGAAGCAATTATAATCCTCATATTATAGCCGGTAGTGAGTCCAGTAAGAAGGATAGGTCGGGGTGGGCCAACTACCCCATACTGTCAATAAAGACATCGTAGCTAGTGAAGTTTCAAAGATCAAACTTGAAAGAATGAGCCGTATGTTACACTTGAAATCCCAAGGAATGAAAAAAGATTTGTCCACACTAAATCTCATTTGCGAATGAATAGTATATTACACGATAGGTGAAGTCTGCATCTGAATACTGTAAATTATGGTCTCGATTAAGTTTGAAATGGTAGGGGAATGTCTTGTTGAAGTGTGAAAAGTATTCAAGTGTTGGTTTGTAGGGATTTGATTGGTTACAGGATTTTCATCATGAGCTGACATTAGTTAGAGAACTGCTGAAGAGTCCCAAACTAGGACGAAACAATTGTCTAGTACTCCCATGTTTTCCAATGGTTCTCTAACTAATGTCAGCTCATGATGAAAATCCTGTGAAAAAAATAATTTTACATTTGGTTCCCTTCATAAGTTTCAGTAAAGAGAGAAAGAAAGACCAGATTTCCAGTATACAATGATATCATTCTATTTCACAAACTCTCATCAACTGCTGACTACCTCAAATTACAAGAGTCATAAATAATGACAACAACATACGTCAGTATTTGAATAATATTAAGGAAAACATTATTAAATCAGCGCATCCGAAATATAAGGATTACAATTTTGGTTTAAGTTACCGTCAATTTACATGCTTTCACAATAGAGAAGGAGGGTGGAGAGGACATGAATCATAAAAATTTAATAAACACTGTTAACATGTCACCTGCAACTGCGTTCATTAATTTATGTGCACTTTTGGGAGGAAGTACATTGGAAGGGGAGGCTTCTGTCAGGTTTTCAGAACATATCGCAAGAAATTTATGTCTAAAAGGAAGCAGATATTCACAAAGTGCAGTTCCTAGACACCTTGTAGATACGGGTCATTTTGTCGAGATTTCTAAATCCCTGAAAAGATTAAGCATATAAAGGACAGCAAACTCACTAAGATTTTCTGAAGTAATTGCAATCAAACGTTTCAAACCAAACTTACGCATGCAAAAAAGAGTGTAATCAATCTCTTACTCCCTTGGTAACTACATTTTGATTATACTGACTAGTGATCCATATTAGTGATTTCAACTTACTGAGCAAGTTTTCAATTTTGAGTTGCTGTGCTAAACTACATGCTAACACTGTTTGTTAGATTTTTATGTGTCCTATCTTCTCCGCCCTCATTCTCTATTGTGAAAGCATGTAAATTGACGGTAACTTGAACCAAAATTGTAATACTCATATTTCGGATGAGTTGATTTCATAATGTTTTCTTCAATATTATTCAAACCTTGAAGGTTACAGCTTCCTACTAGAACCCCAGGTTAACTGCCAGTCTTTATCAAAAATATCCCACTCAGTTAAAGGTATTATGGCTGTAGTTTCCGTGATTCTGGATGAATTATTTATCACCAATTGAAGACAAGTGATTGTATGCTCAACCAATAGATGGCAAATACCCCTCCGCACACCTCTTGAAATGCTCCATATGACCGGGCGTCTTACGTAGCCTCTCCTGAGGAAGTCCTACCCACTGCTTTCACGTGGCGGAGGTATTTTTCACCAAAGTGAGAGGGCGAAAGCGGATGCCCGGCGCTCTTCACCGGGTTGACTGTCCATTGGATGACAGTCTAGGGGAGATGGCTAAACCCTGATTCCAAACCTCCAACGACTGGCGTATGAAGCTCACTGGAGCTCACCGGCAGAGACGTATGGACAAAGGGCTTGTTGGATGTCCTGGATGTCTGGTCCCATTCAAAAAGGCGTATTAACCGAACTCCGGTCACCGGCTGCCAATGGATAGTGGACTCCCTACACCACTCCTACTGCCTTGTAGGTCACACTTGGTTGTGTAAAGGCTAGAGCTGCACTCTCAAACAAAAGGCCGAGCGATTATGGGAACGTCACTCGTACCAAATTCCCATGAAACTTCATGAACACATGAAGCCGGCTCATCCTCCCGTAGGAGATAGCCGAAGTAAAAAAAATATAAAAAATACGCATACATTAGGCATAAGTTAAGTGTGTGTGGTTAAGTCACATATGCTAGAATGAATCCTATAAGTACATTCTTTGTGATATTGCTCTAAAATTAAACAAGTTAAACAGAATTCATTTAGTGAATTACTACTATTTGATATGTTAAGACGAACTTCTCAAAAAACTATGCGTCAGTGGCACCGCGGTTAGGACTCTCTTCGATCATGCACATGGTCCGGGGTTCAATCCCCACTCGACGTACATCTGATATCAATGGTCGGCCTGCTAAATTTGGGCTACCGATATCACATGATAAAAGTACAAGAAATACGGTGTGGAATCAAGTCATAATCAAAAAAAAAAAAAATCAGTAACGGTAGAATCACTGATTGGAAAGTGACGGTAATTACTCACTATTGTCATTGTATAGGGACTATTCTATTCTGTTAACTGTTAGGTTGTGACTCAGTGCACCTGAATAGTAACTTGTGCACTTAAATATGTGATGGTGATAAATACTGAAGCATTTTCACAGTGTTGAAAAGTTGTTCACTAAGATGAAGTAATTGTTTCTTACTTGTTGGGTTTCAGTGGTTCTTCATATGATACCCACTAAACGCTAATCTTGTCGGTTAATTCTCGTAGCTGGATGGCATATTTAAATTCTTGCATTACTGAAGAAATAGAGGTAGGTCTAAGTCACTCAGCAGCCTCCTGAAAGATCGATTATCAGTAGTTTTACTGACTCTCATTCGATTTTTATACTACTACAACGGTAAATACATGAACTCACTGTTATTATTATTATTATGTATTTTTCTAATTGCAGCCTGGTGATATTGTATACCTGTTTGAGGCAATTGATGAAAATTGGTATAGAGGAGAGTCAGCAAGCAGTGGTAATCGTGGAATGTTTCCAGCAACATTTGTTGAAGTTATTAAACCACTGTGAATTAATTGAAGATAGTCAGATGCATAGTCGTATTAGCCACACAACAAAAAGACAAAACAAACAATTTCTAATATTATTCGCAAATAATATTAGATAAATGTTGTTATCTGTAAAAGGTTCAATGTTTACACTTTAAAGTCTTTGCCAACTTTCCAATGAAGTCTTCAGGATGCATTGTGAACCACAGTGAGTCGTCATAATACCTGCATACTCCTATCAGCCTTCAAAAAGGTGTCAAGTGAATAGAGAAAATTATGACTACAATAATTCAACAACCAACTGTATCAGACCAATTGTTCTCTTAGCATTCCCAAAATATTCTTTATGTGATTAGGAATGGATGGATGGTGCATTGTTTATTTTTTATTTCTTAGTGTATTTGTACTTCTTTATAAGCTGCTTTTATATGTCGGTATACAAATGTCGTCTTTATCAGCGTATATGTATAATATTCATTAACGTACATTTCGCAGAAAATCAATAAAACACTGTTTACTCTCATATTTTTTTATTAAACTTGTTTATTTGAATAAGACATTTAGAAGACAAATATCGCGAGGTGATATCATTTCCTAGTTTCTTTACATCCGCCTTACAAATAACATGGTTAACAATAATAAAATAAAGTTCATGACAATTACTCAGTTAAATAAAAAACACAAAAGTACATACTAATGACCAATCATATTTAGATAGGTCATGTAATGCAGGGTAGGTGAAGATTGAAGTCTATTGATTTTGGTACACACACTTTAGACTGTATGTGATTAATCCAAAGTGCTTCCAACACCTTCAATAACCTTGAATTAGAGTTATGTGAAATAATTGTGAAGCCGTCATTAATTTTGATTTTGTGACCTGACATTAATAAGTGCTGGATTCCTATTCAGGTTAATAGCATGGGGATTTCCTATGTGTTTTAACAATCATTTTGGAACATGTTGCTTTTGACGAGACTGGAACATTCTGTTGGTTCTACCTACATAGGTGTCACCGCAGCTGCATGTGAACATGTAGATACAGTTTGAAGTAGAGTCCACAGAATTTCGTCCTTTAATCGTAAGTACAGGGACCGAAAATGTTCGAGATGTGAGGGAAAGAAGTGTGGAGTAGAATATGCGTTTGATGGTTGACCGAAATCTTTGAGCTGTCAACTGCATAATCTGGTCACCCTTGGATGGCAGGTTAATAAAGATAGCTTTCTTTGGTGCAGAAGCTGTCATTTCGAGATGTGGTCTATCCTTACTGTGACAAGTGATAAAGTTTTCCGGATACCCACTAGCTAATAAAACTGAATGTATATGTCGAAACTCATCCATCAATGTGTCACTCGTGCATATTTTTTGGACCCTTGAGAACAAACATTTCACTAGGGAACGTTTACAGTGGATAGGATCAAAACTGGTGAAATGAAGATATTGTCCACTCCATGTCTGCTTATGAAATATAGATCACTGAATGGTTCCATCGTCTCTCTTGGTCATTGTAATATCCAGAAAACCGAGTTTGTCATTTGATTCGAGTTCAGAAGTCACTCGGATATTTGGATGAATATGATTAAATAGAGTAATAAAGTTTTCAATAGATTTACAATTATTACCAATAATGAGTGTATCATCTACATAACGTTTATGTAGCATAAATTCTCCAAGCATACCTTGCATTTGTTTTTCAAATTTCTACATGACTATATCTGCTAACAGGGGCCCAAGAGGGCTCCCCATCGCAACACCATCGATTTGTTTGTATGCTTTTTCTTGGAAGGTGAACCCAGTATTTACTGTTCACATTAAGATCATGTCTTTGATGTCAGTTATAATCACACGACTTCGAAACTTCAGTTTGGTAGTTTTCTTGGTTCTCTCCTATTTGTCGCCGTTGGGGTAGTAGAATTTTCCAGATATCTGGAACAGGTGTTGAATAATTCCTGTTACACGTGTTTGCAGTTGATTCGATAAACAAAGCTTCCGTTGGCATCAATCTCTTCCTTCACCCTGCTCTTGCATTAGATTTTGAAACTGTCACCTTATCCCATCCATCCTATTGTATAATTGTGTGTAATTGTATGTACTGAGTGCTATAGCTGAACTATTCTCTAGATTTCTCATCTTATTCGGATTAACTAATCTAGATTTTGCTAGGTTTTGGTGCTCCGCTAGTCTGACTGACCGAGCACTGTTCCACTACTTTGACCTATGTATTTGACCTGACAATCATTCAAGCAGGCTATTAGATAGACAAAGTTGTTTTGTTTAGTTGGCCCCTACAGGATTGATCCTTTAACCGACAATTGAGTTTGTGGGTGGTGTGAATGCCAACCACTTTTATTCCTGCCTTGTTAAGATTTCTGCGTAAGGGTTCCGAGGTTCCTTTCTTGTATATAATGAATACTGATGATTTAGATGCAGTCAGGTAGGTGCAGTGGGGTGTAGTCAGGTTAGCCGAGCATAAACCCTAGAAAAATCTAGATTATTTGACCCGAATAAGATAGAACAAATCTAGAGGATAGTTCAGTTATAACACTCACCACATGAAGTTACATACAACCACACAATAGGATGGGATAGGATGACAGTTTTAAAATCTAATGCAAGAGTAGGGTGGAGGGAGAGATTGATGCCAACGGAAGCTTTGTTTATCGAATCAATTGCAAACACGTGTAATAGGAATGATTCAACACCTGTTCCAGATATCTGGAAAGTTCTACTAACCCAAATAGGAGAGAAGAAGGAAAACTATAAAACTGAAGTTTCGAAGTCGTGTGATTATAATTGATGGAATGATTATGAGTATTAATAAATTTGTGTTCGAAACGTCATCCAGTATGCAGTAATGCTTTTTCATCACTGTGTGATATATATAATAAACAAACTATTATGGGCTATTTTGTCGTCATCACTGTAACAGATAAATCTCATTAGACTAAAATGAAAATGGTTAGTTTGCTAGTAAGCGTTTCTGCGTGAATTTTCCACATTTGAGCTTGTTTACGCAGAATTATCTTTCACTATTATTGTCTCATACTAGTGTATTATAATATTTTGCAACTGTAGCTTATAAAGGCTGCAATATGGTATTAGTTAGTTTGGACCCTTGATTATTTAACTGTTGATAATATTGAATTTTGATAACAATATTTCGCAAAATGTCAGAAGTTATAAATATGTTTTACTATATTAATCCTGTTTTATTAGGTAAGTAATCCATTAGTTCAATAGAAATTAGGTGAATTGCTCCTCTATGAGATGTCAAAGGTGGATTTGTCAAATTGCATGTACCTATTACTTCCTTCTTTGAACTAATTCCAAGAAATCTACCCAATGTACACACAAAAAATATGATCTACTTAACTACCTTTGCAAAATAATTGTTATTTTTAAATTTAATTGGTGGATGATGATTAGCAGTGGAATACAGGATGCTCATTTCGTCCTATTTGGGACTCGTCATCTGGATGTACCTGCATTCCCCAGCGAGTGATGTTCCCACTGAGGCTCAAACCCAGTAACCATAGTTTCAAACGCCAAAGCGTTATCCATTAGACCACTTGGGCCACGAGAGCCACTACCTCTTGTGCCACGAGTCATATTAATTATTAAATTGAATTTTAGATTTTCCCGTTGACTGATTGAACCGAAGTGCTCGTTCTCAATTAAATAATCAAGAAGACCCGTTGTACAAGAGGTGGCCAGATCTCGTGGCCCAAGTGGTCTAGTGGATAACGCTTAGGCGTTTGAAACTATGGGCACTGGGTTCGAGCCCCGGTGGGATCATCATCACTCACTGGAGAATGCAGGTACATCCAGCTGACCAGCGAGCCCCAAATAGGACGAAATGTGCATCATGCATTCCACTGCTAATCGTCATCCACAAATTAACTTCTAATCACATGCCCAGACATCGTGGAAACATCTGCGCAATAAGCTGACATGTCAACCTGAGACAGAGCACTTTGGTTGAATCAATCGACGGGAAAATCTAAAATTCAATCAAATTGTTAGTTTGATAACGGAATTATTATCCTGAGTACTTAGATACCAGCTTAACACTAAAACGAGATTGTAAACCCTGAAGAATGTCCAGTTTACTTTTCTTCTTTTTATATTAACGAACCAGCATAACTTGAAGCATAATTGACAAGAATGCATTGATATGCAAATTACTTAGAAAGGCAAATTTAAAGAAAGACAATTTCAGAAAAGACAAAAAAGACAACTACATCAAATAACCAATGGATAAGTTAAATTTTTTTTCACTTCATTAGATATATCACTTGCATGCCTTTCCATCTTACAAAAACGAGATACTGTAGACATTCCGAAAAGGAAACACACACACAAACACCCGAAAATTCCAAAAAATGAAAACACTTCACTGAATTAATAAAAGTTTCAGGTGTTACGACTTTTGAAAGTCTGTTAAAATATTTGTGCTAGATTTAAAGTTCCTCATGATGTTGAAGTGCGCTTCCATAATTTGTAGCCTGGCTACTGACGAAGATGTCACGTTTCATGATAATTTCTTCTTCAGATAATAATCCATCCTAAGAAGGTGAAAGTATGAAAAAAAAACAGGTTACAATAGAGATGAGATTGGCTTTCATTTACATAAGAAGTTAAATTTATTTTTCGACTGAATTCCTGAGACTTTATACCGTACAGATTTGATCTACTTTAAATGCGAGTATATTCAAAGATACAAGGAATCTCTATTATTGGTGAAAATGCTGAAAGATATCAACTCAAAGAACTTAAGGCCTGATTAAAAATATTCAAAATTCAAGCTTTATGTCAGCTAGTTCATACATAGGAACAGCTTTTACTGTGACATAATAATCTAGCAGATGTACTTCTGGAGAGGAATATTTTGATATGGTTGTGTTCTCTGATCTGGATTCTTTATTTGAGAAGCCTACATCTTAAGCGCATACTTCAATTTGTTCAAGTCACCTTTCCGATTTGTCCACGAATTCAGTTTATAAGTCGTCTGTCCTGGTGGGTGACCATCAACGTTGTGATTGGTTCTGTGTTTTCACACGCTCTAGACAGCTACTTGTATTGTATTGAATTGTATAGGAACTGATTGTTTCCTTGACTTGAACTTTGACCATTTGTATGTGAGATTTCCTTCTTATCGGTTGGCAGATTTTGTCCATCTCGATATGTGTATTGATTGACGATTCACTGGAATACCAGGCAGGTTTCTGAAAATTCTCGATAATTCTTGGTGTTTTCTCTGTCTGATATTTGGTCGCTGGTTATCCCAGTCGAACTGATATCCGTGGTTGTCTGTATGCAGTGAGGCGATATGAGGGAGTGGATGTCATGTCTTTTGACGGCTAGGTTGTGGTCATGGATGCGAAGACGAAGGGGATGTCCAGGTTGGCCAATGTAGTGTTTTTTGCAGTTGTTACAATTTATTTTGTAGATGATGTTGGTTTTATTTTTTTCGTTGTTGAGTC